TGTTTCAACATGATGATCCCCCCGTGCACAGCCAGCTTCCTAAATATGACTGTAATTATATCTGGTCCCGATGTGAATGAAAACCAATCACAGCTCATCACAATGTCACTGTAAACCTCTGGATTGTGTCACACAGGTCAAAGAGGAGGAGGAGGAGGTGACTTATTCTACAGTCAAGACTTCATTGAAGACAGAAGCAGACAATGATCCCAGTGGCCTCTACAGCTATCTCAGCCAACCAAAATAAATCAGAGGATATGAGACTTCCCATAATGTCATATTCATAAAACCTGCTGCAAGAGTGTTTTCTGTCTGAGGAAGGGGACAGTTGGATTTGTGCCTCAGTGTTCTTATCAAATGTTGTGTAGTTGTTTCTAGTTTGTTGTTGCTTTGCTCAGCATTAAGACTGTTGTTCTGTTAAACTGGTACTAAAACTATTACTCAGTTGAATTTAATATTTCATTAGTCAGAGTTGGCAGCGTGATTGTCACAAGTGAAAGTCAGAGTTCTTGTTGAAATAGATTGCATCTTTGTTGGTCAGCAAACACAATTGTTTGACCAAAACACAAAACTGTCGAGTATTGCAGCTCTCATTGTGTTTCTGTTTATTCAGATATTTTAGTCGAGACAATTTTCATTTTTTTAACTAAAAATATTCTTTGTGAATAGTGGAATAAATTCTTGTTGTAATATACATTTTAATTTACATTCCTTTTGTTAATATATTGTATGATCCAGTGGTTATTAGGATTTAACATTGTATGTTTGGACTGTGAGCCCATCTTATTGTTTTTATGTTGTTTTGCCATTTGAAGCATTTTATTTTGTTGTATATTTGTGTTATATTGCATTAGCACTGCTGTGATATCCAGTAAAAAGATTCAAATGTATTTTTGCTATTGGTGTTGAGCTTGTAGGTTTTAAAATAAATAGAAGTTATTTTCTTGACTCTTTCTTCCTGCCTCTTCTTTGAGATTCAAGCCTGCACTCGTCACAGTGTTTCAACTTATTTTCTAAATCTTCAACTCATATAACTGATGAAAAACAATCAATACTTGGGTCATTCACATAAAGGAGGCCAAGGTGTAACGGCACTGCAGGATGCAAATAATTGAAGCCAGGCATATACACTATAACTTAACTTGCTCCTTTCCCTCAAACACTATCACACTGATATTAAACAGAATGGAGAAATCACCCATTCTGAGGAAAGATCAGCTTTAAAGACAGGCCTGGATTACCAGGTGTTCTAGTTCTTTCTACAGGAGAGAAATAAGACCTCATCTATGACTGATATTGTTTTGGCTTCCCCCAAGGAGGTCATGTCAAAACAACTGTGATTATCACTAAAGTGTGAGCGCCTCTTCTGTTCCTGACAACCAGATCTGTACACATACACACAAACACACAGACTCCCCCCTCCCTTTCTTTCTGACCTGATCTGAGAGTAAAGATGGACTCTTCAGAAACACCATCCTGGAAACCACTTCATACTCTTCCTTTTAACCAACTCTGCATCATTGTGCATGAAACATGTAATCAGTTGGTAATCCAGCTAACATTGATCAGCAGTTGTTATATTGATGTTCAATCCAACTGTGATCTCTGTATGACATAAAATAATAAATATATTAATGCAAGGAGTCAAACATGTTTTAGTTTCATATCGTAATACTGCCATCTAGTGTCCATGTATGATTAGGTATCTGCAATAAGTTTATATTTAGTAATTACTCACAGTTATATTTTAGTATTGATCAAAAGATTGTTGTGTAATTCATTCAGTTGGTAAATAGTGGTAGGGACCATTTATATCATCTTAATGATATTTAAATAATACTTTCTGTACTAGGTACTTTTTCAAATGGTTGCTGTTACAAAACATATGATCATAGTGTTCCTTATTCTTTAATCATATGTAATTTCATATACACAGTTTTCTTTTATAATTGGGTCATGGTTCAACTGAACTGACCCTTCCTATCAGACATACCGTCCTTTGGTCAGATTCTACCCCACTGGCTTGGTTGCGGGCAGATTGATGCCATTTTAAGGTACCAGAGTCTCTGAGCTATAAGAATGTATTAACAGCTGACTGGAGGTATGTTAATACAGTCAGTGACCCATCTGATGACCTTACCAGGGGCAAAACCCTTTAAGAGACCCAGTGGCAAAACCTGTAGAGTCAAGGGCCTCAATTCCTTACCCATCCTTCTGACACTTGGCCCCAAGCCCCTGATGGCTCCGACAATGATTTAAATCACCATCAGCTTGAAATGAAGTCCTCCTTTTGTGGAGAAGTTGTCACTATCAGGTCTGAGACAGGCACAGGTGGATAGCTTCGGAGAACATCTTGCCCATCTTAGAGCTCAAAGACCCCTTCTGTCAACCAGTCACCTACTGTACTCACCCTTACACCAACAATCTGTCCACACACAGGCCTTATTCATGTTGGAGGCAGGCTATGACAGAGTGAATAGCTCCATCAGCACGAGCCTCGTGAAAACCCAACAAAGTTATCCTGGTCAGGTCATTATTGTAAATGATGAATGGTTCTACAAATTACTTATCTTGTCAAATAATAGTAAAAAATAAGTAAATAGATTTAAAGTCACATTCATACTTTCACAGAGGTACAGCTTATTGTAACTACAGTCTGCCACTGCCAGTGAGACATGGAGGAATTAGGAACATTAGCACCATCTTGTGGGTTATTTTAGTAACAAACTATCATCAAAGTATCCAGAGGACATAATTAATTCCCATGACAAAAACATATACTGCATATAATTTATGGTTTTGGGTTTTATAATTTAGATCCTTCAGAGCATTTAATTTCTGTGTAATAAAAACTTCCTGTAACCATCTTAGATATGTCTATAACGAGATTGACTGCAGGACGTTAGGCTTTATGTTCATAAACACTGCCCAGACTGTTTCCACTTATATAAAAACCCTGCGGGTAATCTCATCTCACACTTTTGTAAAAAAGGTAAACAAAGTACTCCAGTTCTAAGCATTTGAGTTATGTTACAACACAACATATCTCAAGTGACAATATATGCTCTGTAACAATGAATCGTCAAACACGTCACTTCCTCTTTTGACCACTGAAGTGACAGAATGAACATCATTTCCATTACTCTGTATGTTGATCACACTTGAGTCTGGGGCTAAAAAAAAACAAATTCCTTAGCATGATACCAAAATGTACCATCATCCATCTGATAAAAGATTACCTTTTGAGTTTCCAGCATGTTGACAGTTGGAGGTTTTCATCTGGTAACATTTTACAACCTACACAGAGAAAAAATACATATATTACTGTGTCTTAACATGTATTGTGTGTATATATTGGGGAAGTCTCATCACTTCCTGGAGCATCTGTAGAGAATGATCTGTATCTCTGTTCAGTGAAGTCACTTTTAATGTATCTTAAAGAAATAAACATTGTATAAGTTATATTCTAATCATTTTGTTCAAGAAGTATCAAGTTTGTGAAACACAAGTTTATTTTATGGCTGTCGTGTGCAGTCTGCTTAAAAAGAACATGGAAGTGATGTAAGCCAAATTCTGTGTTACTTATTACAGGCTGGGTGATGGGTGTTGCTGTTAAAAGTTATTTTCACACATTAAGACGTCCACAAACAGGAACTTTGTTTAATCGTCGCCATTTACAGATCTATAGTAGAGAAGAAAAGCCTCACACAGCGTCCGCCTGCTGACAGAGAATAGACACAAAATGTCTCTACTGGAATTAATCCTTATTTTTGTGCTTCACTTTGAAGGTAAAGCTCTGTTTTCTTATTTAAATGGTAATAATAATATTATTAATAGAAACACTAGAGTTTGAGAATTTCCATTAACATTTGTTAACGGCTCGAGTGAAAAATAATGAGGAAGTAGTCACTATTGTCTTACTTTAAAAGCCACTTTAATGAGCTTTGATCAACTTTCTGGCCTGTAAAAATGAACCAACGGCTGTGAGACAAGAACAGGATAGCAATATGAATCAATTATTTTTAGATAGATCCTTAAATACATATATACTTCAACATAGTAGATATAAAGATAAGTAATGATCATATAGTCCGTCTGCTCTCTGTGTTCTCATTGGTTCCTTTAAACTCCACCCAGGGGCGGATCTAGAGAAATATTCATGGTGTGGTAAGAGGGTGGTAGAAGTATCTGCTGATTTAATCACATTTTAACTCAATAACATTACACTATTGTGGCCCATTGGTAATAGAAATAGAATGGATTTAGAAAGAAATATATAAATGTGGCATTAGAAAACAATAAATTGTTAAATATCTATATCTTCAGACATTTTTGTGTGTTTATTGAACTTAAGCTGATCACTGAGTCTATGATGTGACCATAACAGATCATTAAATTATATATGTTTCATTTTTTAACACACTAATTCTAGAATAAATATAAATAGACGTCATATTTGATGGCAATTGACACCAAACTGGGGTGGTAAGGCATTTTTTAGATCCGACACTTTATTCCATCCATATGATAAAGTATTATTGTATTTACATTGTAACTTGATGCAGTTAGTACATAAAGTGCATACGATGACACAAGTACATACACAAGTAAACAAAGACAATAAGATCAGATCTGCAGTTTTTATTTGGTCTCAGACAACATTTGTTCATTGTGATCGACTGTGTGTTGCTTGTTTTGTTCCAGTTTTCACAGTGGAGGTAAGCTGTATCCCAAAGAGCCCTTGACTCACTGATTTACTGAGATAGAAATGAGAATTACTCTCATATAAACACAACCACTAGATGGCCGAGGGTCACACACTCCCTCCCTGTGGTTGCATATGTGAAAAAACAGCAACAATAAAAAACTGTTCATAACGGAACAATCTTTGTTTTTGTTTGAGAATAAAATGAAATAAAATCCTCATGTTAACTGTTTAGTCTCCATACAGATGGTTTTATGTGTCATTTCTTACAGAACATGTATTCTTTTCTTTCCAGCAGGCATCAGTGGAGAACCTATCTATCTCTACAACAGATCTGGACATGATGTCATTCTGCCCTGTACCAGTGCATCACCCTCTGACACAACATGCTCCATCGTTACATGGCTTTACAACAGAGATCGATCTCAGACTTTAACTGAGGTTCAGGAAGGAAAAGTTGAGAAGAGATCAGCCCGAGCTGCCAGGATGAGTCTGGACACTTCCTGCTCTTTGGTCATTAACAACATCACTGCTGAGGATGCTGGTCAATACACCTGTCGTAAGGGGAGGGACAGTTATAATGATGTATATATATATCTAAATGTTCTCACAAGTGAGTCTCAATTCCATGAAAACTCATTGAAATGATCAAGAGAGAATTTTACTTTTGGCAAATGTTTTTTGGGACAAAAATGTTGTATTGTTTCAAGCTCAACCTCAATCCAGTTATACATCCTTTTCTTGTCCACTCTGTCTCTTCTTGAAAGGCATTTCCCAAACCCAACCAGTGAGCAAGGTGTCTGTCAGTGTGATATGTCAGTTTCTGATTAAAGGACAATTCTGGCGCAAAATGAACCTGGGGTTAATAACACATGTGTACCAAGTTGGTCCGTTCTCTGGGATATGTTTTCATGCTAATCGACCGTGACTGGTTTTAGCACAAACTGTTAATTAGCTTATTACGCTAGTCAACGGGGCACAGAGTAACGTGAAAAGAAATCACTTTTTATACCACTAACAAGACTCAAAATAGCACCACACTTACACGGTAGCATAATGAGGGTCCCTACCTATAAACCGAAGCATTGAGAACTTTGTAAGTGTACAGACAGTTTATTAAAAAGATAGTTTAGAACAAAAGTAGCGTTCGCGTATACAGGCGGGCGCTATCTTGGGAAAACAGTCAGGGGTTCGGTCATTCATGCAGATCAATGATCAAGATTTACAGCTGGCGATGTGAACTAAAACAAACGTAATTTGCTCAATATATCAGAAATAATCCCACCGATGTAAAACACAACTTGTCTAGTGTATTTACTCAGTGGATAACTGTCCATCTGGTCCCTCCGGTATGAGTCGCTGCCTCCAATTTATTTTTGGGACGTGGAAAAAGTTTTGAGTACAGCTCTGTTTATCAGCGTTTCACGCGAGATTCACTTCACGTCTCCATGGAAACGTTGTTGCCGGAAGAAAGCACTGAGCACATAAGAGAAGCACTGAACGCAACAGAGACTAGTGCTTCCACAGGATACACACTAAAGAAATGGCGGATTATTCAACTGAATTTGAAGACATCGACAACGAACCCTTTCAGTTTGATGGACGTCCTTATCTTTTGGAGCCGGAATATACAGACGAAGAGCTGCGGGAGCTCCGTGAAAGGGCTACGAGAGAGAGAGAGCTAAACTGGTGGTGAGTGGGACCTGTTGCGTCGCGACACCCAAGAGACGCAGTGTTTTGTACAGTCAGTACAGATTTCCCCTCTCTGATAAACAGAGCTGTACTCGCAGCGACTCATAGCGGAGGGACCAGATGGACAGTTATCCACTGAGTAAGTACACTAGACAAGTTGTGTTTTACATCGGTGCGATTATTTCTGATATATTGAGCAAATTACGTTTGTTTTAGTTCACATCGCCAGCTGTAAATCTTGATCATTGATCTGCATGAATGACCGAACCCCTGACTGTTTTCCCAAGATAGCGCCCGCCTGTATACGCGAACGCTACTGTTGTTCTAAACTATCTTTTTAATAAACTGTCTGTACACTTACAAAGTTCTCAATGCTTCGGTTTATAGGTAGGGACCCTCATTATGCTACCGTGTAAGTGTGGTGCTATTTTGAGTCTTGTTAGTGGAATAAAAAGTGATTTCTTTTCACGTTACTCGGTGCCCCGTTGACTAGCGTTATAAGCTAATTAGCAGTTTGTGCTAAAACCGGTCACGGTCGATTAGCATGAAAACATATCCCAGAGAACGGACCAACTCGGTACACATGTGTTATTAACCCCAGATTCATTTTGCACCGGAATTTTCCTTTAAGTAAAGTCGCTCAAACATTTTTTACACTGAGTAAACAGTTATCTCTTGTTTTCTCTCAGTCTCTCCATCTCCTCCAGACGCTGATCCAAAGAGGGACGGTGAAGTCACATTAGTGTGCTCTCTGTCGAGATACATTGAACTCGGTCCTTGTCAACTAAACAGCGTCCGCTGGGTGGATGAGACAGGAACTGTGCTGCTTGATGAAGGTGTCGGGTACAAGTTCCTCAGACAGAAGAACTGTGTCTCTGTTCTGAAAGTGAAGCATCAGAGTGGCCACAACAGGAGATACACCTGCCAGTTTGTTGATGAGAACAATGTAAAGATAGAGGCTGACTACACACCTGTCTTCATAGGAGGGACAGGAGACGATCAGCCAGGAGAACCTCATTCAGGTAAGATAATATGCAGTTCACCAGATACAGAGCTTTGCCTGTTGGTTTCTCAAAGTTTCACATGTTGGAGATAAACTATTTTCACAGTAGAACAATTTGTAACATTCAGGTTATTTTCTCCTGCAGGACATTAAATATGGTATTTACTTATTAACAGAAATGTTTTTCTTTCTAAATCATGTTCAACAGATTCTACAGATTGGCCTCTGAGCCCTATCATGTTGGCTCTAAGAATAACAGCACTGATCCTAATGATTGTAATCACTGTTCTTGTCATCAGACACAGAGGTGAGGAAACTCAGACCATCATTTGGTACAACTGGTTCATATAAATCATATGTTTAGAATTTTAATGGTACTTTTTATTGTTGTTTTTCAGTGAACACAAAACCACTTGATGACGACAATGTGAGTTAAAAAATAATTAATAGTATCTGGATAATAAAAGATGTAACTTTTTCATTTGAGACTGTTGTTCCTTCTGTGCCCACAGAGGCTGCAGTCTCTCTGGTAGAAACATCAACAGTTTGTTCCCTTCAAACAATTCAGAATCTCATTGGTTGTGTTGTATTTCACAGGTGCATCAGGATGGCGACAAAGTCAATTATGAAAATGTAGAAGCACGTCCTGCTACTAATAGACTGCACTGATCAACAACTTCCACACCAACGTCAGCTCACCAGAAAGTCAAATATCATCACAGTCATTTTTCCACATGGACAACAATACAGGCAAAAAGTTATCCTCCCAACCATCAATGCTTCTTTAATGTAACCTGTAACCTAAGGTGACCAGATTTCCGAAATGAAAATCGGGGACATTTTTTAGCGCGGTGGTCAAAATCGTTAATCGTTATCGTTATGAAATAAATAACAGGGGCAATTACATGTTAATGTATTTTGACAAAGCACATGAGTAGCCAATAAGAAGTTACCTTTAACCCATCCAAACTGTTAACCAATATGAAGAACTTGGATTCTGATTTGACTCTGATTCTTCTTATTATTATTATTATTATTTATATATATATATTTTTTTAGCTATGTCAATCAACTCACGGGAGCTTGTCAACATGTGCACACTTCCACTTGTGACTTCAGCCATATTTCACAGCAAAGCATTACATGAGAGGATTTACACTTATGCTGTACACTCCTTGTGATAGAAAGTCAGAACAAACTCTGAGTGCAACCTGCAACGCGTGCTTCCCCCTGTAAGGACGGTGCCCCTAAAATAAAATAAAAAAGGAGGCGCTCTCCAGCTGGCTCCCCCCGTCACTCACCTGCAGCTGCACGGACGAGCAGAGGAGCGCTCTGCTGTTGTGGCGTGGATGTGCCGCAGCACAGCGGGAGCAGAGACCAGCCGGTCGACACAAGCCATTTACTGCGTAACGTCAGCACGTTAGTTAAACTGGTTTAACCATAATAACTGGAGTGTGCATCCATACGCAACTTTTTTTCTCCCCCATTCAAATCGGGGACATTTTCAGGGACAGCTTTAACCGGGGACAGGTCGGCCAAATCGGGGACTGTCCCCGAAAATCTGGGACGTCTGGTCACCCTACTGTAACCTCACAAACTAATGTTAGTTGATGATGTGCTCTTTGGCCTTTGAATTAACGCTTGAGTAAATCATACTTTTCCAACCCTGAGACAAGAGAATGAACTAGAAAATTCCTAAAGAAATTTTGATTGTGCCTTGCTCTCTAGCACGCTAGCACTAGCATATTAATGCCTTGTCAGCCTCTGTAGCTAGCTATGTGTGTGTGTGTGTGTGTGTGTGTGTGTGTGTGTGTGTGTGTGTGTGTGTGTGTGTGTGTGTGAGCAGGCTTTGGTTGTCATGGCAATCAGGGGAGACCACAGCAGCTGCGCGCGCTCTCTCTCTGTCTCTAACTCCTCAGAGAGACAGAAACATTTAAAATGAATCCCCTCGAACCCAGGAACGACCGAAATGAAAACCGAAAAGACCGTGAGCGTCGTCATCTTGTTGACTATAGCACTGCCGAGTTTCAGTGACTAAAGTTTAAAAATGTGACCTGGGGAGATTGAGAGAGAAGAGGTTCTACGAGCTCCTTTAAACATTTCTCCTCTACATTTAACATGGGAGTAGATGGGGCCGTGAGAGGGTGTTGCTGGCGCATCAGTGCGTCTCCCGCCAAAACTATTTGTCTGACAGCTTCAACAGTGGTATCACTGCGACCCCAACGAGTTTACCTACGTTTCTAACTATAAATTATTTCTGTAGAGTGATATTTGTGGCCTTGAGAGCAGTTTACAAATTTATTTTTCGACAAATTTTTCTCTCTCCCCACACTCTAGCGATGATGTCACGCACTCTGGCAGTTGAACATTCTCGCAATACACACCCATTCATTTTTTGGACCGGTTTTTGGCGATTTATCGGCAAACTGTTTGGCGAAACGCTTAGAAAAGTCACAGCACTAATGTCCTCACCGAGCCGCACGTTTTGATACCTTTTTTGTGTATGTGCGACCAAAACTGCGGGAGGAGAAGCGCGCCGAAAAACGTACGGAAGAATAATAATAAGTATGGGGAAGAGTAGTATTGTGCTTTTCAAGGCACAATAATAATGACTGAGTGAAAACTGAAGAACATGAGTTTATGCCAGAGATTCAAACAAGTTCACGTCAGAGGGCCAAATTATTATTCAGGTTATTATTAAGTCTTCCCTGAGAATTAACAGCAAAATATGTTGCAGTGTGCTTATTATTTTGTCATTTTAAGTGCTTTAAGTCACCAGAATGCACAAATCAAAGGCACTGAAAGTCTGAAAGCGTTTTGAAATCCTCCCTGTTTTTAAAAGTATGCACCAGCCCTGTTTCCAGCAGTAGCAGGAAGCTCTACTGTAAACTACCTGCTCAGCACCAAACAACCAACAGACACAGTTAGGGACGAGCTGTTGAACATAAAGGAACATTTAGCAGCTAAAGAGCCAGAAATGTTTTTAAGGAGTTGGTGGAGATCAACACAGACCTAAAACAAGAGTGAATGTTGGGCTTACATTAAACAGGTGGATAAGAACACAACCTGCTGCTGCTTTGCTGGATGTTGTAAATACAGCTGTTGTATAACATCTGTTGTATACGTGATAATATGTCAGAGTTATTTCAGCTTTTCTTTTTGCAAAAAAGCAATAAATTGGCAACTTGAGCAAATAAATGTGTTGACAGTCTGATGTCAGCCTGACAGTATTAACCATCATATTTAACCTGAGTGTGTCTAACTATGTTTTATTTGACAGTATTGAGTTTGTGTCCACATTAAGTTATGAATACATTAGCCAGGGCATTAGCAAAGTAACTCACTGACATTCCTTCTATCCAGCAAAGACCTTATGTTGTTAGTGGTGTTCTGATAACCTGAGGTACAGCTTATTATAACTACAGTCTGCCACTGTCAGTGAGACATGAAGGCATTAAAGAACAGTAGCACCATCTTGTGGGTTTTCTAGCAACAAACTATCATCAAAGTATCCAGAGGACATATTTTATTCCCATGACAGAAACAACATATACTGTATATAATTTATCTTTGTAGATCCTTGAGTGCATTTAATTTATGTGTAATAAAAACTGTCTGTAACCATCTGGAATCTGACTATAACTAGATTGGCTGCAGAAGACTTTCATATCCTTAAACCATCAAAACTCATATCTTTTGTTAAAGTTAGACTTTATGTTCATAAACACTGCCCAGACTTTCTACTGTTTCAACTTATATAAAAAGCCTGTGTGTAAATATTTTACTGTTTTGTAATAAAGGTAAATAAAGTACTCCAGTTGTATACATTGGTGTTATGTTACAACACAACATTTCTCAAGTGATAATATATGTTCTGTTACAATGAATAGTCATTAACATATTGTATATTTAGTTAAAAGTGACACACAGTGTGTACATGAAGGAAAATAAAGAACCACGTGGGGGAGCACTGCAGCAGAAACAGATCTGTCAAAATGTTGTTGTTCCTTCCTCTTTTGACCCCTGAAGTGACAGAATGAACGATGACATCATTTCCATTACTCTGTATGTTGATCACACTTGAGTCTGGGGCTAAAATAACTCTCACAAATTCCTTTAAATGAGACCAAAATGTACCATCATCCAGCTGATAAAAGATTACCGTTTGAGTTTCCAGCATGTTGACATTTGGACATACAAGGTTTTCATCTGATAAAAAAAAGGAAAGAAGGATATTAATGTGTCTTAACATGCACTGTTTGTATATTTTGAGGAAGTCTCATCGCTTCCTTTAGATTATGATCTGTATCTCTGTCTAGTAAAGTCACTTTTAATGTATCTTAAATGATTTAAAAACTTAATAAAAAGTTATATTCTAATCTTTTTGTTCAAGAAGTATCAAGTTTGTGAAAGACAAAGTTTCTTTTGTGGCTGTCGTGTGCAGTCTGCTTATAAAGAATATAGAAGTGATGATAGTCTAACTCTGTGGCACTTGTGGTGGGCTGGGTGGTGGGTGTTGCTGTTAAAAGTTATTTTCACACACTAAGTCATCCACAAACAGGAACTTTGTTTGATCGTCGCCATTTACAGATCTATAGTAGAGAAGAAAAGCCTCACACAGCGTCCGCCTGCTGACAGAGAATAGACACAAAATGTCTCTACTGGAATTAATCCTTATTTTTGTGCTTCACTTTGAAGGTAAAGCTCTGTTTTCTTATTAAAATGGTAATAACAATATTAGTAATAGAAACACTAGAGTTTGAGAATTTCCATTAACATTTGTTAATGGCTCGAGTGAAAAATAATGAGGAAGTAGTCACTATTGTCTTACTTTAAAAGCCATTTTAATGAGCTTTGATCAACTTTCTGGCCTGTAAAAATGAACCAACGGCTGTGAGACAAGAACAGGATAGCAATATGAATCAATTATTTTTAGATAGATCCTTAAATGCATATATACTTCAACATAGTAGATATAAAGATAAGTAATGATCATATAGTCCGTCTGCTCTCTGTGTTCTCATTGGTTCCTTTAAACTCCACCCAGGGGCGGATCTAGAGAAATATTCATGGTGTGGTAAGAGGGTGGCAGAAATATCTGCTGATTTAATCACATTTTAACTCAATAACATTACACTATTGGTAATAGAAATAGAATAGACTTAGATAGAAATATATAAATGTGGCAGTAGAAAACAATAAATTGTTAAATATCTATATCTTCAGACATTTTTGTGTGTTTATTGAACTTAAGCTGATCACTGAGTCTATGATGTGACCATAACAGATCATTAAATTATATATGTTTCATTTTTTAACACACTAATTCTAAAATAAATATAAATAGACGTCAAAATGTGTTAAAATGTGACAGCAATTGACACCAAACGGGGTGGTAAGGCATTTTTAGATCCGACACTTATCCATGTGATAAAGTATTATTGTATTTACATTTTAACTTGATGCAGTTAGTACATAAAGTGCATAAGATGACACAAGTACATACACAAGTAAACAAAGATAACAAGATCAGATCTGCAGTTTTTATTTGGTCTCAGACAACATTCGTTCATTGTGATCGACTGTGTGTTGCTTGTTTTGTTCCAGTTTTCACAGTGGAGGTAAGCTGTATCCCAAAGAGCCCTTGATTCACTGATTTACTGAGATAGAAATGAGAATTACTCTCATATAACCACAACCACTAGATGGCCGAGCGTCACACACTCCCTCCCTGTGGTTGCATATGTTAAAAAACAGCAACAACAAAAAACAGTTCATAACGGAACAATCTTTGTTTTTGTTTGAGAATAAAATGAAATAAAATCCTCATGTTAACTGTTTAGTCTCCATACAGATGATTTTATGTGTCATTTCTTACAGAACATGTATTATTTTCTTCCCAGCAGGCATCAGTGGAGAACCTATCTATCTCTACAACAGATCTGGACATGATGTTATTCTGCCCTGTGCCAGTGCATCACCCTCTGACACAACATGCTCCATCATTACATGGCTTTACAACACATATCAGTCTTATAGTTCCACTGAGGTTCGGAAAGGAAAAGTTGTGGAGAGCTCAGCCCGAGCTGCCAGGATGAGTCTGGACACTTCCTGCTCTTTGGTCATTAACAACATCACTGCTGAGGATATTGGTCAATATGCCTGTCGGCAGGGGACGAGCCCTAATCATGATGCAATAGTATATCTAAGTGTTCTGACAAGTGAGTCTCAATTCCATAAAAACTCATTGAAATGATCAAGAGAGAATTTTACTTTTGGCAAATGTTTTTGGGACAAAAATGTTGTATTGTTTCAAGCTCAACCTCAATCCAGTTATACATCCTTTTCTTGTCCACTATGTCTCTTCTTTAAAGGCATTTCCCAAACCCAACCAGTGAGCAAGGTGTCTGTCAGTGTAATATGTCAGTTTCTGATTAAGGTGAACCATGAAGAGTTTACCTGTTTATTTTATATCCTTCTTTATATTACGGTAAAGTAATTAACACTGTGGCCTTTTCCCAAACCGACCCTCCCTCACTCCCTCAGCTGTGAAAGACACTCCACATTATGGGGACACCCCTTTTATTTGAGGAAGACAATGTCCATAAACTCACATTATACATGGAACTGAATGTCTCTCTGGTTTGGGACGGCCCTTAACATGAGGGACCCTCACAGTGAATGAGATATTCTTTATAGTTTTCCTTTTATCATTTCCTTTCCTTATTTTGTTTGTCAAACCACAATTGAAAGTTGTTGATTCCATGTGGTTCAATCCACCTTCATATTTTAACTCAGTAAAACAAAGATGACAGAAGATGAATAGAAACTTGTCAGGACCTTTAAAGGACAATGCTGGTGCAAAATGAACCTGGGGTTAATAACACATGTGTACCGAGTTGGTCCGTTCTCTGGGATATGTTTTCATGCTAATCGACCGTGACCGGTTTTAGCCCGCCTGTATACGCGAACGCTACTGTTGTTCTAAACTATCTTTTTAATAAACTGTCTGTACACTTACAAAGTTCTCAATGCTTCGGTTTATAGGTAGGGACCCTCATTATGCTACCGTGTAAGTGTGGTGCTATTTTGAGTCTTGTTAGTGGTATAAAAAGTGATTTCTTTTCATGTTACTCTGTGCCCCGTTGACTAGCGTTATAAGCTAATTAACGGTTTGTGCTAAAACCGGTCACGGTCGATTAGCATGAAAACATATCCCAGAGAACGGACCAACTCGGTACACATGTGTTATTAACCCCAGGTTCATTTTGCACCAGCATTGTCCTTTAAGTAAAGTCGCTCAAACATTTTTCACACTGAGTTAACAGTTATCACTTGTTTTCTCTCAGTCTCTCCATCTCCTCCAGACGCTGATCCAAAGAGGGACGATGAAGTCACATTAGAGTGCTCTCTGTCGAGATACAATGAACTCGGTCATTGTAAACAGAACAGTGTCCGCTGGGTGGATGAGACAGGAACTGTGCTGCTTGATAAAGGTGTCGGGTACGAGTTCATCGGACAGATGAACTGTGTCTCTGTTCTGAAAGTGAAGCGTCAGAGTGGCCACAACAGGAGATACACCTGCCAGTTTGTTGATGAGAACAATGTAAAGATAGAGGCTGACTACACACCTGTCTTCATAGGAGGGACAGGAGACGATCAGCCAGGAGAACCTCATTCAGGTAAAATAATATGCAGCTCACCAGATATAAAAATTTCACTAGGGATTATAGCTTTCAGTTAACATGATTGTTTAATGTTTACATCTTTTTACACCTTAAATGCTTTAAATAATTTAACAGTTTTCTTTGCCAACAACAAGCAGATGTTATGTAGCTTCAGATGACAAAACATTCACACTTTAATCAGTTTGTTCCTTAAGAAAGAAACTAGTGACTAATATACTGTAAAGAAGTAGAGAGAAATATAAAACTTGTAATTACAACCTGTAACCTAACAAACTAATGTTAGCTGATGATGTGCTCCTTGACCTCTGAAGTAACACTTGATGAAGTCATATTTGCAAACCCTGAGACAAATGAATGGATGAGTGAAAACTGAAGATTATTATTCAGGTTATTATTGAGTCTTTCTTGAGAATGAACTGCAATATCTGTTGCAGTGTACTTCTTATTTTGTACTGTGTGTGAGTATGATCTGTACCTCTGTTCAGTGAAGTCACTTTAAATGTATCTTAGATAATTCGTTACTTACTTAAAATCATTGTATAAGTCATATTCTAATAACTTTGGACAAATAGTATCAAGTTTGTGAAGACAAAGTTTCTTTTGTGGTTGTCGTGTGCAGTCTGCTTAGAAAGAACATGGAAGTGAAATCTGACATGATGTTCTGCACCTGCCAGTTTGTTCAAATTTTTAAATATTTAAAATCCACATTTGACCAAAAACTCTATCTGATCACATATTTTCTATTAAGTTGATTACCTATTTTTTCATGAATTTAATTTCTAACTGGTATCCTCTGACTACAGATCAGTTTCATAATCAGACCTACATCATAATCGGTGCAGTGGTCGGGGTGGTGGTAGTGCTGGTTGTCATCGCTGCTGTTCTCATCAAATACAGGAAGAGAGCCAAAGTGACAGCAGGTCAGTAAAACAAAGTATTATGATGTGATACACATAATGTACAATATGCTTGAATGGTAAATTATATTATTATGATGTTATGTTATGTTATACTATATTATTATATATGCCTTTCATTACCAATAATACAAACTTAGCTAATAGAAACAGACAGTCAATCACAAACAAGTGTATTTTATGGCCGCAGTATAAAAGATAACGTGTATAATGTAAAGAATGATGATAACTAATCTTTCAAATGTTACTTTTTGTTCCAGATGTTCGAAAACCAACCGAACACCCTGTGAGTAAAATGTAACAATCACAAGACAAATACCAACTGTGTTACCTCCCAATCATATTCATATGCTTCCTAAAATGTACTAATATGTACTCAAACAATATTTACTGTACATCCATTACAGCATTATTCCACTGCTGACAAACTGACAGTAAATGATGAGGTATGTTTCCCTTTCCTCACCTCAGAAACACAACCACACGTTGGACTCCTTGTATTAATATCTTTCTTATTTTATGTCATACAGACAATAAAGTTGGATTAAACATCAAGACAATGTTTGCTGATTAACGTTAGCTGGATTACTGACTCATTTCATGTTTAATTCATAATTTTCAGACTTGGTTAAAAGGAAGAGTATGAGATGGTTTTCAGGAATACATTTCTGGAGAGTCAATACAGTGAACACTTTCTGTTTGTGTTTCATAACCCACTGTGTTATTTGTACTCAGGAAGAGCCAGAGAGCAATCTGACCTATGCTACTGTTAGCCATGGTAATCAACAGACCTCTCCTAAGAAAAAGGTGAGTGACTCGATACGCCTGTATTTATTCAGCTGTGCTTTTCTTCTTCAATAATGGTTTAATCTTAAATTTGCTTTGTCGGCAGTGTGTTGCTGTCATACTATAAAAACAGAAACTGATCAGTATCACGTTACAATGTGAAAAGTTTATAAGATGTTTTTCACATGATAACAAGATATTTTATATTACTATATTGTATAAGCACAAATTTATCACGTTATAACTTTACTTGTTATATATTCTCTTTATAACAAAATACTATTTATTTTGTTATAACTAAAATATTTCATGTTATAATATAATAACTAATATTGTTATACATGTCACTATCACTTCTGTTGTTACACGTTTCACAAGTTAATTGTTATAAGGTAATTAGTTTGTATATCGTAATAACATGAAAATATCTTGTTATAACAATAAACTTTTCATGTTTTAATGTAAAACTGATCTGTTTTACTTTTTCTGGCGTGGCAGTAATACCTTCTGTAGCTTTGCAGTGAAATTGTTTTGCAATATTTTATTAATATGCTGATGATCAATTACACAGCATGTGTTATGTTCATTTTAAATCTTAATGCTAAAGACTAAAATCATATTTTAAGATGTGTTTCCAATTTTGTGGCGACTGTTTCAACATGATAATTCCCCCGTGCACAGCCAGCTTCCTAAATATGACTGTAATTATATCTGGTCCCGATGTGAATGAAAACCTCATCACAGCTCATCACAATGTCACTGTAAACCTCTGGATTGTGTCACACAGGTCAAAGAGGAGGAGGAGGAGGAGGAGGTGACTTATTCTACAATCAAGACTTCATTGAAGACAGAAGCAGACAATGATCCCAGCGGCCTCTACAGCTATCTCAGCCAACCAAAATAAATCAGAGGATATGAGACTTCCCATAATGTCATATTCATAAAACCTGCTGCAAGAGTGTTTTCTGTCTGAGGAAGGGGACAGTTGGATTTGTGCCTCAGTGTTCTTATCAAATGTTGTGTAGTTGTTTCTAGTTTGTTGTTGCTTTGCTCAACATTAAGACTGTTGTTCTGTTAAACTGGTACTAAAACTATTACTCAGTTGAATTTAATATTTCATTAGTCAGAGTTGGCAGCGTGATTGTCACAAGTGAAAGTCAGAGTTCTTGTTGAAATAGATTGCATCTTTGTTGGTCAGCAAACACAATTGTTTGACCAAAACACAAAACTGTCGAGCATTGCAGCTCTCATTGTGTTTCTGTTTATTCAGATATTTTAGTTGAGACAATTTTCATTTTTTAACAAAAAATATTCTTTGTGAATAGTGGAATAAATTCTTGTTGTAATATACATTTTAATTTACATTCCTTTTGTTAATATATTGTATGATCCAGTGGTCATTAGGATTTAACATTGTATGTTTGGAGTGTGAGCCCATCTTATTGTTTTTATGTTGTTTTGCCATTTGAAGCATTTTATTTTGTTGTATATTTGTGTTATATTGCATTAGCACTGCTGTGATATCCAGTAAAAAGATTCAAATGTATTTTTTTCCTATTGTGTGTTGAGCTTGTAGGTTTTAAATAAATAGAAGTTATTTACTTGACTCTTTCTTCCTGCCTCTTCTTTGAGATTCAAGCCTGCACTCGTCACAGTGTTTCAACTTATCCTCTAAATCTTCAATTCATATAACTGATGAAAAACAATCAATACTTGGGTCATTCACATAAAGGAGGCCAAGGTGTAACGGCACTGCAGGATGCAAATAATTGAAGCCAGGCATATACACTATAACTCAACTTGCTCCTTTCCCTCAAACACTATCACACT